AATGAAGCGGAAAGGAGGAGGAGGAGGAGGAGGAGGAAGAGGAAGAGGAATAGGAGGAGGTGGCGCATCCAATCTACAGCGCCCCAAAAAAAAACCTCACGGCCACGCCCGTTACGCAGTCTAGACTTGCAACAGCGACAAGAATCAGGGACAGAAAAAAAAACAAGCAGGAAGGGGAATGAGTACATATTCTCCTTTCCGCACCACCATCGCGCCGCTTTTGCCGCCACTCCTCGCGCGCTGATTGGTCATGTGCAGCCAGTCATACTAGAGAGGTATAGGAAATAGGGGCGAGCTTGCGCGCGCGCGCCGAGGGCCGCCCCCTCGTCGTCGTCGCGTCGTCGGCCAGCCGGCCTCCTCCCTACCACATATCTTTCTTATCCGCTGAACGGAATCTATCTTCCAAGCCATGGCCTTGCCCCCCGAGCATTCCTCGCGGAACCTATCTTCAGGGGATCAGGAGACCACATCGGAACATATTGCAGGGAAAGCTAGTATCCAGGCAAAAAGCTGGTCATCAGTCGAAGGTTTCTCCAGGAGCTCGTCTTCGGTGGCGCGGCCTGTTCCCCAACAGTCAGAGAGGTGGCAATGGTGGCTTTACCGCAGAGTGGGCTTCGCAGGTGCGCTCTGATTATCCACGAGCGCCTAGCACAGGGATCAGGCGTCTCACGCCCGTGGGCCGCGGTTAGAGCCCGTTCAAGGAAAGGGGGGCAGGCGCCCGGCTCAGCCGCGGTTGCCGGCGGCATCGCGAAAGAGGGGGCAGTTATCCCCCCCCTCCTTCGAAGGCCAAAACGGCAGGTTCTCAGAGCCTGGCTTGACAGATTCTGGCAATTTTGGCGCGTGCGACGGAGCCCCAGAATACAGCCAGACACAGTGCATATTTGCATTCAAGCGGTCCGCGCGGTGTTTTCGCACAGTCGGAAACAGAGGTGTCGTTCGCGACAGGATCTCCGCATTCGCTTGGCCGCTGGCGGCCAGACACTTGACAGCCAACAGCCTGGAAGCGTTCCGACCTGGAGACCGGCCAGTGCAGCGGCTCAGCCGCCGGCGCGCCATGAGCCTCTCTTCCACTTGCTTGAGCCCCTGAGGTTTCGCTTCATGGGGTGGCTCGCGCATGTGGCAAGTCGTGAGGGGCAATCGCCCTCTGCCGCAGCCGTGTGGTGGCCCCTTGTGTGGTCTTCCGAGATCGATCAGTATGCGCGCCCGTTGAAGTGCCCCGCTCTTTCCGTCTTCGAATGGCCGGATCTGGATGATGAGCAGATCCCGCCAACAGACGGGCGGGGCAATTGGGCAAAGAGCAGACATTCGGAAGGCATAGAACCATTGATGCGCCCACCGCGCGATTTCGTCCCGGCGGTGAGCAGGGCCAAACTGTCAGTGGAACAGCCGCCTCTCAAGAAATTGCGCCCTTCGGCAGCTGGCCCAGCCGGGCTGCCAGGTCTGCGTCGCGTCGCAACGAGATTGCAGGTGGATCCGGGGGGCTTATGCCTCCGACTGGATCCACGATTCCACGGCGCATTGAGATGAACCGTCCACGGTTCCACGGCGCATTGAGCGGTTCCGAGATGCCACGCTGGCTGGGCCTCGCACCTCTTGGGGGCGGCGCGCCGAGGGCCCGGCCTGGATGCGCAGTGCAATTAGCGAGCATTTCATCGGACTATCGAGGAAGGTGGCCGGGTGAATATTCTCACCAGCGACCAAGATGCCCGCGACGTCGCTGCCCAATTCCTCTTGGAATAGTTCGCCCCGTCGGGCGAAGCACGGAGGCTGGATGGGGGTGTGGCCCGTGAGGTCACTCCGAAGCTTGCTGACTTAATGGCCGAAATGTGGGGGGAATCTCACGAGAGTAAGCCGACGCATCAGCGACGGGGCAGAGTTTTCCGGATCGTCCGAGAGGTCGTCGATCTCCTTCTTTATGATAGAAGGTCGCCACGTCGCTTTCCCCAGCCAAGAAGTGAACGATCTCGTGGAGGTTGGGGACTTAAGCCCTGTCCAGAGGCGGGCTGACGCTTGCGCGCTGGACTGCCGCATCAGGTCTGCGCTTCAATCGTCAGACCTGTTGGAGGAGTGGACGGAAGGCCTCGGCCCGGGGATTCGTCGCGAGGTCCGAAGCCGCTGTGGCGAGATCCAGGGCGCCATGGCGTTCATCGTCTCCGGTGGCACCGACAACCCAATGGCGAGAATGCCTTGGCTACGGGCCGTTTTGGCCATGTCGTTGCGGGCGCGACCGTTGGTCTCGCAAGCAGCATGGGGAGGGGCGCCGTGGCGGTCGGCTCAGCCGATCCGCCCGCCTCGGCCCTCAGCGGCTCTGCCGCCTCGGGGGCCGACGTCGAGGCCCCTGGCGGCTCTGCCGCTCCGAGGGCCGATGACAGCGCCCCTGGCGGCTCTGCCGCTTCGGAGAATGACGCCGAAGCCCCCGGTGGTTCCGCCCCCCTGAAGCGGCGACGTGGACTTGACATCAGGGCCCATTGCACCGAACACGCCCGATAATATAGGCATGGGCGAAGGCGCGCGCGCATGCCCGCAACGCCTCCAAGATGTGCCCCGCAGACCCCGGATGCTGCGCGGGCGGGTTGGAGGCAGAAGACGACTCGTAGACCCAGCCCGCGCGGTCAGGCGCCCGCCAAGTCAGCCGGGTCGGGCGCCGCGCCTCCCAGGGGCGCCAGGTCGATGACGACCTCCGCGGGACGGGATGAGTGGAGTCGGTCAACGTGGGCGGATAAATCCGCGAACGTCACTGCGGCGGAGGCGGCTGGAACTCCTCGCAGGACTACGCCGACAGGGGCGGCGACAGCCGCGTCGCCGGCCACTGGGTCCACGTCGACCGTCGCTGGCCGATGATTGCGAGTTTAGAGACATGGAAGCGGTTCGCCCTGCTGGAGCACAGCGAACTCTTCATGAACGAGCCCGAGGGCCGCCTCCAAGGGCGAAGAATGGAGGCCCAGCCCAAGGGCGCCTCCAAGGGCGAAGAATGGAGGCCCAACCGCCCAGCCTGGACATATGGGCTAGGAGCTGCGCCTGCAGAAGATCACGCGCCTGAGCGGCAGGCCCGCGCGGCACTGGAGGCGACTGCCGCTGCATTGCCTCTGCCGCCGCCGCCGCCAGCGCCGAAGGCGAGGCCGGCTGACAAAGGCAAGGGCAAGGGCAAGGACAGGGGCACTGACAGGGGTAGCGGAAAAGTCAAAGACGACCGTAGACAATGCCCCGACGAACAGCCCCAGCGGAACTGGCAGTCGGATCGCAACTGGAGCCGTCAGCGACGGCGTGACGATCGCCGGTGGGAATAAACTGACGCAGATGATCTGGTGCGACTTCGTCGCCACCAGGACAACATCGCTCGGCTTCGCCGGCGCGATGTGCGCGAAGAGAGGCGAACGAGATCTTTAAGATATGAGCCGACGCCTGGGCTGGCGCGCGAATATAGCTTGGGTCGGGCACGTCGGGTTGCTTCGGCCCATCGCCCCTCGGAGATTTCGGCTGAGCTGTGATATTTACTTCGGGGTTGGCTCCCGAGGACGTGCATATGAGCAGGTCGAGTGGGCGTGGGCCGACGCAGGCCTACGCGCCCCGCCACGGGGGGAGTAAATATGCTCCTCTCCGCGCCACCATCGCGCCGCCTTTGCTGTTACTTTTCACGCGCTGACTTGTCATCTGCAGCCATTCAGATCCGAGAAGTATAAGAAATAGGCGCGAGCTAGTGCGCGCGCCGAGGGTCGCCCCCTCGTCGTCGTCGCGTCGCCGGCCGGCCGGCCTCCTCCCCGCCGCGTGCCACATGCTTCTCTTATCCGCTGAGCGGAATCTACCTTCCAAGCCGTGGCCTTGTTGAAGCCCCCATGAGCATTCCCCACGAAACCTATCTTCAGGGGATCAGGAGACTAGATCGAACATACTGCAGGGATAGCTAATATCCAAGCAAAAAGCTGAATGAGAAACCCTGATTCGGTGATTTCCACGCCCGCGCCCCGCTGGCGCCCCGCCGAAGAAATCAACAGCCAGTCTTGGGCCCCGTTGTAATGTCTCCGTTGCATCTGGCGACCTCTTCAGAGCCGTTTCTGCGCTCGCTGCCAGTGTCGAAAGTCACTTCCCAGAGACAGGGATCCAAGTGATAATTCTGATTGCCGTCTCGCGGGGCCTTTGACTAGAACCATCGCGCGCGCTTCGCCCGCTTTCGTAATGGGCGTGCCATGGGGCTAAGGATACAGCGCGTCAGACGGGCCGTGTCGGGATGAACGAATCCTTGGTTTTGAAGCGCACGCTTTGGCCGCTGAAGTCGCACTGAGGATTGGTATTGACCGCAGTCCTGGGCCATCCGTTTGGTCAATGGTCCTGGGCTTTCTTTTTGGTCGACGTGGGCCTGTGGGTCCATCTAAGAGCCGAGCTTTCGCAACGCATGTAAACCCGAGAGAAGTGTACAATTCGTTGGGGTGGAATGCGTTTGGTTTTGATTGCTGTGGCCCTTGGGTATCCTTTGTGGGCACCGGGCAGAGACTTCCGGGGAATGGAGGCGGAGACGTTTATTTCTGAGGTTTGGGGGCCCATGGTGGAGCCTTTGCGTCCTAGCCCGAGGGGAGGCGTCCACAATGTAGGGGGGCAGCGCATGGAATGGAGGTCGAAACTTCCTTTTCAAACGTTTTGGAGCCTTTGCTTGAGTTTTTGAGTTTTAGTTCGAGGAACAAACATGCAGAATCGCGGGGGTCAGCTTGCAGAGTGGAGATCGGCATTTCCATTCTGGAGTTTGGGGGCCTGTGTTGAAGCGTTTTAGTCCAAAACGGCGGGGGAAAGTTGCAAAACGGAGGTCGGACCTCCATTTTGGAGGTCTCGGTTCCAGCGTCTTACGACGTCGGCGCTTCGGCCCCCTCCGCTGCGCCCTCGTGGCGCCGGGTGCATGTGGCGGGTGCGTGTTGCTGCTCTTCCGTAGCCGTTTCGGCTCAGCCTCGCCCCAGGCCCCGCAGGTGACAGCCGCCTTCAGTCGCGCTTCCCTCCTTGCACCCCGTGGCCACATGGAGCTGCAGATCTCCGCGTCGGGTGGCGTGGAGGCGGCGGCCACCGTGCCATTCCCCGTCCGCCTGTCGTCCTGCAGGGAGGCCTCGGCCCGGTGCATGCTGACCCTCGAGGAGGGCGGGAGCGTCAGGGCCCGGCTGCTGGAGTCGAGCGAGGGCCCAGTCCTCTGCGACAGCGGCTGGGTGCAGCTCGGCGGCGAGGACTGGGTCTGCCTCGACTGCGCCGCAGCCTCCCGGCTGCTCTGCTGCGCGTGCGAGTGCGCCTCGGGCTGGACGCTGTGCTTCGACGTCAAGGAGCGGCCGGACCGCCCGCCGCTGCTGCGTTCCGTACACGTCGCGGCGGCCTCCCCGGCGGGCGCCGCGGCCGCAGAGGGCGACGCCGTCGCGGCTGCCAGCGCGGGCGGCACGCTGGGCGCGGTCGCGGGCGGGGCCGGAAGCGCGCAGTGCTTCGACTGCACGGACGCGCAGTCGGAGGCGAGCTTGGGCCTGCGTGCGGCGCGAGCGCCGCCGGGGCTGCCTGTGCGGTCGGCTGGGGCGGGGCGGGCCGACCGCACCCCAGAGGATCTTGAGATCCGACGTTGCCATTGCACAATCGCAAAGAATCACGACCGGACCCTCTGACGCCGTCTCTCTGCGTCACTGTTCGAGGCGGATCGATCCGTGAGGGTCCTGGGGCCCGAAATGAAACGAAGACGCGCGTTGTGAAGGAATTGCCACGCCAGGATCTCAGAGGAGGCCTTGCAGCAGCTGCTGGGCGGAGGCGCCTCGGGCCTGCCCCAGTGGCTGCTGCAGCCTTCGCTCTGGGAGGCCCTCTCGCGGGGGCTGCGGTTCGAGGCGGGCTCCTCGGAGGGCGGGGCGCTGGCCGTGCCGCGCGCGCAGCTGCGGGCCGCCAGGGCGGAGCTGGAGCGCTCGGGGCACGCTCGACTGGAGGGCCTGAGCTGGGACGACGTGGGGGTCTCCATGCAGGCCATGGCTGAAACGTCCTCCTCTTCATCCTCCCCCTTTTCCCACTCGAAGGAGAAAGAATGGCAGAAACCAACACTTCCGGAGCTCCGCGCGGATTTTCTTGGTGGATCTGCGCTGGGGCCCCCTCCACTGCGGCGCCTCCGGCGCCGCCCCTGGCGCGCCCCGCGCGCCAGCGCGGGGGCTCCAGCGCAGATCAAAGAAATCTGCGCGGACCGTCGAAAGTTTATGTTCTTCATGCCGTTTCTTCTCTCTCCATCCATGCAGGCCATAGCTGACACCATGGCCTCGCTCCAGGAGCGCGGCGTACCGCCCGTCTTCGTATTCATGTACGGCGAGGTCTGGGCGTTGTGGCGGAGCCTCTTCGCGGCGGCGGCCGAGCTGCTCGGCGTCAGCGAGGAGGAGCTGCGCCTGGACGCGTCGGTGTTCGCGTGGGCGTTGCGGCCAGCCGGCGCCGCGGGCGAGGTCGGGAGCAACTTCGGCAGGCCCCACCGCGACGACAGCTACTCGGACTGCCACACCGCGGACGGGCGGCTGAGCATCCTCAGCATGTGGCTGCCCGTGGTGCCGGTGACGACGTCCAACGGCTGCATGTACGTCGTCCCCGCCCAGCACGACCCGCTCTTCGCGGAGCCGTCGCACCCCCTGCACATGCGACCCGAAGAGCAGATGCCCTGGGCGCACATTCGGCCCCTCCCGGCCTCGCCTGGGGACGTGCTCATGTGGAAGGGCAACCTCATCCATTGGGGCTCTGCCCCCGACGGCGCCGGGGACCCGCGCAAGAGCATCGCCTCCGCCTTCTTCCGGGCCGGGTCGGCGGCCGGGCAGGGCATAAGCCTGGGCCGGTTGCGGGCTGGGCTCAGCGTGAGCGCTCGGCTGCAGCTGGTGCTGCGGGCGCTGCTGGTCTACTCGGACTGGCACCCCGGGTTCGCTGGGCTGGAGCGCGTGCTGCAGGGGCCCGGTTTTGAAAAGGCGATCCCAACGGGGCCCCATGAACGGGTGGCAGCGGGAAGCATGCCGCACAGCAATTAGAGCGCGGGCGGGCGGGCGGGATTTTGCTTCGGGGAGGGGCCAACGACGCATGGGAGACAACAGCTCGGCTGCACGATGGACACTGGAAGGAATGGACCGTACCTCGTGCTGCCTGGTCTTGGCTGGAGTGTTGCTCGTCTCCAGCGGACGGCGCTCCACGGCGCCAAGCCAGGCAACCCAGATCAGAACCTTGCCGCGCGCCCGACCGGCTGCGCAATTCCGCGCCGCACGTTGCCGAATCGCCATGAAGGAAGCGGGTCTTGGGGGGAACGGGCCCTGGACCCTGGGGTGCCTCCAGGACCAGTCCTCCGTCCCGAGCTGCTCCTCCTGGCCGTCCTGGGGCCGCGTGCAGGGCTCCGGGAGCCCGGCGAAGGACTTCCAGGACCCTCCCTCCCCTCGGGGGCGGCCAAGAGGGGGGTGATGACTACGGGGGGGGATCTCATGGCGAGGGCCATGATATCTCCCCAGATGTCATGGCGCCTCTTCTCATCTCAATGCGTCCCAGGCCCCCCCCCCCCTGGGCCGCGCACATGCCGCCCGCCATGACTTGACTTGCGCCCCTCCCTCTTGGACGCCCCCCTCTTGGACGCCCCCGATCCCCTCTGCAGACCCGCCTGCCGAGGTCTCCGTGTCGCCTCCCCTCCGCCGCCCCCCCCCAACGCCGCGCGGCCGCTGCCCGCCCGCCTCGGCCCCGCGCCCCGCTCGCGCGCGGCGAGGCGAGGTGGTGCTGTGGGCCATGGAGCTGTGGGGCACGCCCCGGGTGCAGACGCTGCAGGCGCACCTCGAGGCGGGGTGCGGGCCCCCACCCCCGCCGGGCCCCCCACCCCCGCAGGGGGGTGGCAGCCATGGCGCCGCGCCGACCGTGGCCAGGCCCGCGTCTGAGCGACGGGCGGAAACGGGGTCGGCTGCGCGAGCATTCGCGCGCAGGCGTAGGCTTCCAGCGCAAGGTCGCGCGTAGGCGCCCTCTTGTCCACGCGGTGTGCCACGCCGGTGGGCCGCGTAAGACGCGGTGTGAGGTCGTTATGCCTTCTCGCGTAAGACCCGTTTGGTTTCGTCGCCTACGTGCGTGTGTGTGTGTGTGTTTTCCTGCTGGATCTGGCATGCTCCATGCTGACTCTGACCTGGCCTGCGCCCGCGCTCACCCCCCGGCTCTAGCCCGACTCCTCTACACAGCTGCGCGCGTGGCCGCGACGCCCAAAGGTGTGTGTGTGTGTGTGCGCCTTGGGCGCGTACACTGATCCTGTGCTCAGGATCCGAAGCCATTTGGCTCAATAATCTTGGTTCAGGCACACCTGGGGCAGCTTCGGGTTTGCCCGAATGCTAAAACACAACACACAACACACAACACACACCACACAACACACACACACCACACACACACACTTTTGCGTCGGCGGCTTGGCAGAGGGACTGTACTGGCGAGCAAAGCGACACGGGGCAGCGTTAGGCGAATTCTGCCGCCATGCAGGAGGGAGGGGGGAGGACGACCAGACGCCGGCCAGGGGAGGGGACCGAGAGGAGCTGGGCCCGCTCAGAGCAGCACCAGGTGCGTGGTGGGGCCAGCGCCAGGGGGCCCAGCGGCGGCGGCAGGGCCGGGGGGCTGGCGGCAGCAAGGGCTGACGGGTTCAGCCGGTGAAGTGGCAGCACGACCAGTGAGAGTGCCGAACCCCAAGGGATGGGGTGCGGGGCCTGGGAACCAGGCAAGGGTGGGGGGGGGAGCGCGGGCGGCAAGACCAGCCCAGGCCCCAAGCAGCGGGGGGGAGCAATGCCAACAGGCGGGGAGCAGCGTGTACGTGCGGAGTCCCTGCGAAAACCGCGGGGTGAGCCGAGCGACGCTGGGCACCGAACAGGTGCAGTCACGGTGGGGATGGGTCCACCGGCTGCAAAGACCGGGGTATGCCGACCGGGGCAGAGCAGCACCACGAGGTGGGCGGGAGGGGCCCGCCAGGGCGCGAGAGGCCAGCACCCGCCCCGGGTGGGTCGCCAGGCCGGTACGGGGAGGGCAGGCGCCCGGGCATGGCGTGGCAGCCTGGGGCGGGCCAGCGGCGGGGATCGCCCACGGAGGCTCGTCGGCCTGGCCGATGTGACTGGAGGCGGCCCCCGGGACGGGGGCAGGGGGAGGTGGGACGGGAGGGGGGCCCCCGCCCTCAGTGAGCATGGCGGGGAGCGGCGTAGTAGCCCGCTGGCCGCTGGGGCCGCCAGGCACCGCACTGGCGGCACGGGGGCGGCCAGGAGGCGCAGGCTGGGGCGGTAGGGGCGATGGGCAGCGGCAGGACGGCTGCCGAGGCCAAAACTGGCCAGGGGGTGGTACCCAGCCCAGGCGAGGCAGGGACGCGCAGCCCCGGCGGCAGCGGGGGGGGGGCCCACACCGCCACCCTCCCCGGGGGGAGCAAGGGAGGGGGGTGCAGGGAGCGCGGAGAGGCACCGAGCTGGTGCAATCATGAGGTGGCAGTGGCACACTCGCACGGCACCACAGAGGGGAGGAGGAGGAGGAGGAGGAGGAGGAGGAGGAGGAGGAGGAGGAGGAGGAGGAGGAGGAGGAGGAGGAGGAGGAGGAGGAGGAGGAGGAG